AAGGTCCTATCCCCATGACCTTAAAGAATTGTACGGGATTAAGCAGGCTATACCTTCATCATAACCAATTCACAGGAGATATATCTCACAATTTAGGAGTCTATCCGCATCTTTGGTATGTAGATCTCAGCTTCAATAGTTTGTCTGGTACACTCTCACCCGACTGGGGAAGTTGGCACAACCTGACATGCCTAAAAATCTCAAATAACAACATCACTGGAGTGATACGGCCAGAGCTTGGGCACTTGTCGAACCTACAAAAACTGGACCTTTCCTCGAACTACCTGCAAGGAGAGATCCCAAAGAGCTTGGGAAACCTGGCTCATCTTTATAACCTGAGCCTGAGCAACAATCGACTTGTTGGAGAGGTACCAATGGAGTTGGGAAGGATGTCAAATCTTCAACTTCTTGATTTGTCGAGAAACGGATTGACAGGAAGGATACCGTATCAAATCGGCACTTGCATGAAACTCCAACTTCTGAAGCTGAACAACAACAATCTCAGTGGAAGCATCCCTTTGGAGATCGGCAATCTGGTGCACCTTCAAGAAGCGCTTGACCTCGGCCACAACTCACTGACAGGGGAGATACCGTCGCAACTCGGCAAGTTGTCGATGTTGCAGTATTTGAATCTGTCGCAGAATGGCTTCACCGGTGGCCTTCCATCATCTTTGAAGGACATGGTTAGCTTGTCCGTCATAGATGTATCACACAACGAATTGGAGGGGCCTGTGCCTGATAGCCCGTTTTTCCGTAAAGCTCCACTGGATTGGTTCCTCCACAACAAAGGCTTGTGCGGGGTCGTCAAAGGCTTGCCTCCATGTGTTTCATCCGCTACGAGAAGAAATGATGAAAGCAAGCACCACAAAGTAGTCGTTATCTTAGCTTCCATGGTCTTCATTCTTCTATCACTCATGATCGTTGGAGCTGCCTTGCAATTCCGAAAGAGGAAGAAACAGTCGCTACCTGTTCAAGATAACGGCAACAGAGAAGGTGCATTCTGCATACTGAGTTTTGACGGAAGATACGCGTACAAGGACATCATTGAAGCCACAGAAGATTTCAACGACAAATACTGTATCGGAACTGGTGCCTGTGGCAGTGTTTATAGAGCCGAATTAACTAGCGGCAAGGTGCTAGCAGTGAAGAAAATTCACCTACAGGAGATCGAGGATACATCGAATGAGATACCCTTTCAAAACGAAATACAAACACTCACTCGAATTCGGCATCGGAACATCGTCAAGCTCTACGGATTCTGCTCCTCTACTCGGCACAAGTTTCTGGTGTACGAGTATATGGAGAGAGGAAGTCTGGGATCCATCCTCAGAAGCGAAGCTGCAGCAGCTGAACTGGACTGGGTGAAGAGGGTGGATGTTGTCAAGGATGTGGCTCGTGCTCTCTCCTACATGCATCATGATTGCGACCAACCCATCGTTCATCGGGATATAACCAGCAACAATATTCTGCTCGATTCAGAATTCAAGGCTTGTGTTTCTGACTTCGGCATCGCTCGACTCCTGCAGCCGGATTCATCGAATTGGAGCATGATTGCTGGCACGCATGGTTACTTAGCACCTGGTAAGATTGTTGTCCTTAATTCTTGACAATCATGGTTCTCTACGTTGGAAGTTGTGTGATCATTTTTTTTTGGCTTGTGTTTGCAGAGCTTGCTTACAGAATGAGAGTGACCACCCAATGCGATGTGTACAGTTTCGGAGTGGTCACGCTTGAGTTGCTGATGGGAACTTATCCGGGAGAGTTCATCTCTGTTCTTCCTTCTTCCGCCGCCCAAAGCAGTTCTGTGAAAACTATATTAGACCAGCGCGTACCGCTTCCTACTGCCGAAGCTGCGGATGAAGTGGTTGCAGTGTTAAGGTTGGCAATTCGCTGCGTGGACGACAACCCAGAAACCCGGCCAACGATGAAGCACATCTTCTACAAGTTGTCGACACCGAAGACGCACCCAAACCTCCCATCTCTTGATTCCTTGAAGCTTTCAGACTTGAGGAATGGTGAAAGATGATCGATCCAGTGGACCTCTCTTCCATCGGTTGCGTCTCATACTGACTGACGTCTTAAACGTTTGATCTTTCTCGTCATGGTTATGTAGTCGAGCATCATTTTGCTTCACTGTTTTATCCATTACATTTGATGTTGTAATAGATTTAGCTTTGTCGATGTAAAAACCCCGACCCAGGAAAATTGGAGATGCTACAACCTTGCAATCCTATAGGTTTTCATGTACCAATGTAAATGCCTCAATCGAAATAAATAATTTTCACAGAATAATTATCACGTAATTCAATTCATAATTCGAACCACCCTTAGGATATTTCAATAAATTCAAACTCCCTTAGATTTCATAATATTTCAGTCTAAATGACATATAAAAATAATAATCTGAATATACAATAGTGTCCAGAACTTCAAATCATTCTTCCTCTTTATATAAAAAATGAGCTACCCTTCAAAATCTGAAAATCACTGTAATTCATAGCAAAACTTATCTCTAATAAGTATTTACTTGAAATATATAAATTCTTTAGGCGTCCAATATATGCTTTTGAAATATGCATAAATATCAAATACTTTCTTAACCTTACATGCATTTTACATCACATCAAATACTTCGAATATTTTTCAAAATAACATACATTTAAATATATTTTCATAATAAAATCATAAATATAACTAATGTCTTATCAGATCATAATCACTATAGTGCAAAACCTAGCATTAATATAAATATAATTAAGGGTTCATAAACATAAATATAACTAAGGTATATGTATCACAATAGTAATATGTATTGATGACAAGTCTCAAAATTATATTTAACCCTCATTATGTA